ACACACACACACACACACACACACACACACACATTAAACCGGAGCCTGTGCTACTAATGCTTTGTGTTTTTTAATCTACATTGTCTGTGTCTTTTTATCCGGATGCTATGTGTTCCAATTTACTGTGAAATGGCAAACAAGTGACAAGATGTGTAATTAGTTACGGAGTTATACTGTGTTTTGAGTGCTATTCAGTCTGACAGCAGTTTCATCAGAATTTATATTTTCTTACATTGGTTTTGCCATTTCTAGTAAATACATCCCCTGTTGGTTGTTGCAATAGTCTGAATGCTCACGATGTGTTTCCATCTACTTGTTGCCGTGAGTCAATGCACTAATATGTGTTTTGTATTTTTTCAGTTTGGAAGTAGTGACGCTTCCCGTTAAACCTTGTTGTGCATTGTTAGTTCTCAGTGAATTTGCATAATGTATTTGTTCTTCAAGTACAGCTGTAGCAAAGAAAGAGGTGATTCAAGCTGTTCACCATTTGGTATAATTTCCTTAAGTGAATGAATGGAAAATCAACACGTAATGAAAAAGACCCCACGGTTTGATGATTGATAGGTGTGTGGGCTGTCTTTCATTTTGACACACAGAACAATGGGGGCTATACCCCCTTACTTATACTTCCCTCTTCTCTCTGAAAAAAATGGCATTCATTTTTTTAAATATGTCGTGTAGTAATAGATTTTTTTTTTTCTTCTCAAGAGAGTAACAGAATGTGTATTTTATGTCAGTATTTCAAAAAATCTCCCCCCAGACCCCCCTGCAGGGGTGGGGTTTTCAGCATGTCCATTTTTTCACCTGTTGGTAAATTGTAGGATTGGCTCCAGGTCGCCCTTTTTATTTACCACAAGACAAATGTGCCTTTTTATTTCATACAGTTCAATTTGGATTGAGACAGGGAAATAACCTAAATCTCACGCATGGCGTTTCACTGTCAAGGGGGGCGATATAGCGTGTATGTAATTACATTGCAAATACTGACTTGAGCCCCACCACTGTATGGGTTAGCCCTACCATAGATTACCCAACAAAAATACTCTGTAGCCGCCACTGGTTATTTGTTAAAACACTTTCTTTCTTGTGTCTTGTTGCCACCTTGCAGATGCCAAGCAACCAATGCAGATATACAGGAGTACCAGCTGTTAAACCAGCTGTTTTTTTAACTTGTCACATGACTTTAAAAGTACATGGAACAAGGCTTATGAACGACCAGCCTATTCAAAATTAAACACAAAAGTCCCTAGAGCTGATAATGTGATTATTACCATTTATTTTATTTATGTCAAAAATGTCACAGCATTAACAACGATCTGACAAGCAACATCATCTTTCTCATGTTGAAAATCAGGCAATGTGAAACATTACACTGTACTGTACAAACAGCTTAATTGTTATTAATTATCCATAACTACTAAGACAGCATTTGCCTACAATGGATGCTGAACATGTCCTAACCATGAAATGTTAATGTGGTAACATGTACAGTACACTAAGTGGTTAGCTTAAGGAATTCTTAATGTCTACATAAAATCAGTAACCATTAAATATAGCCTACGCAACCACAGATTCACACAACTTCGGAGGAGGAAAATGTTCAATTTATGGGCTGATATGGCTACACGGACCAACGGTTATTTTTGAATTACTGTAGAGTACATCATGCTTATTTGTAACAGCTGAATTATTATGGCAAAAGTATACCTCAGAAATGTATGGTTTAGCTTGACCGTTGGTTCTTATAAAGGACTTAGCTAACATTAGCTTACCACACTGTAAGGCACTAGAATGGTTTGAAGTGTACCGACTGACCTATGAATATGTAACAAGTAGAAATATAGTATTGCTTTACATCCATGCCTTTTTCAGTCAGAAACTCAGACAGCAGGTACCGCTTCTCTTGCTAAGCTAGTTAGCTTGAGCTACACTTGTTTAAGCTGTCTTTTTGACAGTTTCTCAATGACTATGGTATTAATACGCTACCGTAAGGTGTTGTAGGCCTAATTGTAATAGTACACTTATATAAAAGGATTACTCTTTTGGGAGTTTTACCTAGTTTTAACATATCAGGAAGTTAAGATGCCAATTTATTATTATTTGAACATGTTACTGCACTTTTCATTGTAATAAAACGTGTAGTGTTTCTTATATTTCTGTTACAAGTTGTTCCAACAATATTATTTCACTACAAACAGCCTACAGCAGAGCCAATGAGAATAGTTTATTTTCTTACTTTTCTAAAACGGCTAAAATATGTTCACCACTGATTCAGTAATATTGATGGATTTACTGACCTGCACTTGAACTTAAGTTACTTTAATGATCACTGAATTAGAGAAGTGCTGCAGAGTCAAGTCAATCAAAAGCTGTATCATCAATAATAAGTGCAAACTATGGCAAGAGGCTGGGAAGTTAGGAAGGCAAAAAGAGGGAAATAAAATGTGAGCAAATGAAACTGTCTGGAAATTATAAGCTACTACACCTACGAGCAGCCTTTTATAAACCATATCACTACAGGCAGGAGGTGGAATTAGCCGAGGGAGCTTGTAAAGATGTAATGCAGAGCGAAACATTTCACACGGGCTTGTAAAACAGGTTGTCGGGGTAATGGAGATTTACAAGAACATTCTTTTACAGAGATGGGACATATAAAAGTGTTTCAAGTAAAACAAAAAAAGAGATCAGACATATTCAACATTTTATTTTAATAATACATCGGGTCAAGTTAATATCAATTTGCTTATGGGCCAAATAGTTTGAGCCCTCAACACTGCCCTCTCCCAACCAGGACCAGAAGATTCAAGGCTTTTATTGTCAATTGTATATAGCTACAGTGTAGTTATGACAATGAAAATCTTAGGTCAAAGGCTCAAGAAGAACCCTAACCTAGGCTGTGAAGAGGGGGAACAATCACATCCTCAAATCTAACTCTCAACATTGGAGCCCCTCAGGGCTGTGTGCTCGGCCCTCTCCTGCAATTAAAGTAGGACTGCATGGCCACTCATAGCACCCACACATTATTAACTTATCTGATGTAAGGTCTGTAATGGGCCTGATCACTGATGGGTGAGCAGACAACCTACAGAGAGGAGGTTATATTCTGTTTTTATTGTATATTCTTCCCCTGGGACAGCTAATTAGCCAGTTCCAAAATGTCTCCTACCATCTTTATGCGGATGATATCCAGCTGTACTGCACCTTCAAAAACTCTGAGCTACACAAACTGTCCNAAACAGAAATACATGAATGATGTGCAGAAAGAGCATGAGCAGCATACAAGCATTTACCACAAGGTAGTACAATTTAGCAGCTACGACATATTAAGTGCAGGAGGAGATAAAAGAGCACCATAAAGTGCAAAAAAAGAGCTACATAAAGTGTAAGTGGAGATACCCCTGTGTTAAAGTGCAGTTAGCGGGGATTGCACGTCTGTTTGTTGCTCAACCATTCTTTGAGTTGACCTATAAAGCTATTGAGAGTGGGACAATCCCGTATCTCAGTTGGGAGGCTACTCCACAATGAGCTGCCTTTAATGGAAAGTACATTTTGTCCAAAAGTGGTCCGTCTGCGGTGGACTTCACAGTCTCCTCTGGCTTCTGACCTAGTGTAGCGTCCAGTGTGTTTTTTGCATAACAAACCTTGAGGCACATAGATGGCATGAACGCCACATCTTCTTCCCTATCTGCCTTTCTATTATATTCATTATTCATAATATGTCATAGTTAATGGGGAAGCTTGACATGCACAAAGAAATAAAAGTGTACATTATTTATAAGCATAAGATCCAGGTACAAGCACACACCCACATGCACTGTTTAGAGACAGAGTTTGTCTGTGTAGGTGTACGAATAAAGTTTTTGTTTCTTGTGTGTATGCTTTATTGTTTTCATGACTGCACTGTATGATCTCGGAAGCTAGTTAATAAATATTCACAAGATTTTTCAGATGAATTTGCATCAAATTACAATAGATTATTAGCATGTGGTTGCAACTACAAAATAAAGAAGACAATATTTATTTTTTGTCTACATTATCTTTAAAGTGCTCTTCTACCCTCAGATATTTAGGAGAAAAACTGAAGCAATCTCGAAAACCTACTGAATCTCTACTTACCTAAAAGTAAGACACAGCAGCAACTTTTTTGTTCAAGGCTTACCATTGCTGCTAATAAGAGTACGTCTAAGACCTTCTGATGTGTGCAGAATTATTTACTGTAAAAGTTGTGCATTCCCCAGACCAGTTACTTTTTGATACCTAAAAGCCAAATGTATTTGTAAAATAAACTCATCCTTGGGCATTACGCAAACAAAACATGACAGTATTCAAAAGCCTAGGATCGTTTCACCATCAAGTTGAAACCTCTTGTCAACAATGTTATCCTGTCAGTTTGTCAGCATGATTACGGAAAAAAAACACCTGGCCTGATTTTCAGGAATCTGAAAGGTGAAGCATTAGACAAGGAATACACATATTACATTGTGGGGTGTTTCCCAATCATGGTACAAAAACAATTATTATTCTTGTCAACATTGGGAGATATGACAGTTGGACTTCTTCTATGCTCCAGGGTGCTCTTCTAGTTCAGTTGTGTTTTTTTTTTTTTACCAGTGATCTCATCTTTTTGTGCTTTGGGCTTCGTTTTTTATGGTGATGATTGGTTAGGAAGATCTGGCTCTGAGTTAAAGAGCACCAGTTGACCACACGATGGTTTGGGTGTCGTGCCTCCGTGTGCATGAAGCCTACCATTCTGGGTGTGGACAGTGTGGTTGTGACTTTATAACTGACTGGACCTTTCCAGGGATCCATTTATACCATACCCTCAGACAGCCAGTATATAAGCAGGCCTGACCAGTCATAGTGAGGCGGTGAAGAGCTGCGGTGAAATAAGTACACAAATCCTATATTTACGTCATCCATACATATCCTTTACCTCTGAGGTAAACACATTGGCCTAAAGGAGGGTTAATGAGTGCAGTCAAGGATGAAGACCTACGTAGATGGGACCAGAAATATCCAGCAAGACACAGTTACAAACATTAAAATATGTTTGTGTTAAATCCTCTTTCCCCTTGCAGGAGTGTTCTCCATACTCGGCCCACCTGTTCGATGCTGAAGATGCTAACACGCCCATGCGGATGCTGCCTGGCCTCTGCGGGGATTACTGCTCCGGCTACTGGCTGCAGTGTCGCTACACGCTCAGCCTCCTCTTGGAGAACTCGGGGAACCCGCAGCAGTTTGCAAACCTGACTGCAACGATAGAAGAAGACCGCAAAAAGTTCTGTGACTATCTGGAGCTGAAGGACAAGCAGTACTGCTATCCTAATGTGTTGACAAATACAGGTATGGGGTGGAAACAGGTTCAGCAGCACACACACACTCACACTGATGAACACTCTTCTGATCTTACTGTGAGGTTGAGTGGAAAAGCGGAAGACATTTGGATTACCCCATTTAAATAAACAGCCAACATGAACAAACAGGTTGTCAGAGACTGAAAAAATGGTTTCCACTGGCAGGAACCTGAACTTGCACTTACAGAACAGCCTTGTTATGAATTATGAGCAGACATTGCTTCACCTTGTTATCCTGCTCATAAGGATGGCAGAATAATGGTTGTTTAGACATATATTATACAGTATACAGCTAGCCTCCCCACATCCTATGATAACAATCCATTAGATGAAGATGAAGCAGGTTGTATTGTTTTGGTCTAGAACTGGAAATAGTAGGTTTTATATGCGCATGGTTAGATTTGGAATGCAAGATACCAGGTCTACTCTTTTCTATAAGACGCACTTATATTTGGTCCTAAAACCCTTTCCTGTTTTGTGTGAATGTTTTTACTCCTTCCTTTCTTATTTACTTTTCTGTCCCTAGAGCTGAATGCTAACCTTGGCTTGGTCCGTGAAGATCCCACGGGATGTCTGGAGCTGTGTTTGCAAGAGGTTGCCAACGGGCTCCGTAACCCTGTGGCCATGATTCACGCAGAAGACGGGACTCATCGATTCTTCGTGGCGGAGCAGCTGGGTTATGTGTGGGTGTATCTGGCCAACGGCTCCAGGATCGACCGGCCTTTCCTTAACCTCACCCATGCCGTCCTCACATCACCGTGGGCAGGAGACGAGAGAGGATTCCTCTGCATAGCCCTACACCCAAGGTTCATACTTCTATTCAAGTTATCTGTGAGGGTTAGGGACATCAACAATGATGGTTTTCATGATTCTCAGTGAAAAAAGGTCGCTAAGCATTTGTGAAAAGTATGATCTCTTCTGCTTCCTTTTCTTTGCAAAGGTTCGATGAGGTCAAGAAAGCCTATGTGTACTACTCTGTGTCAGTAAAGAAGGAGGAGAGGATACGTGTCAGCGAATTCACTCTGCTAACAACCGATGACAACCAACTAGATCACTCCTCTGAGAGGTGAGGAGAAAAGTCTACAGAAACACAAATGGAGACAAATTAGTTATTTTAGAATAATGTTGTAGTGGAATATTTGTAAGTTCTGGTATTCTACACGTTTAGGACTATTCTTGAGGTGGTAGAGCCAGCATCCAATCACAATGGAGGACAGCTTCTATTTGGCCGTGACGGGTACCTGTACGTCTTCATCGGCGATGGTGGCCGAGCTGGAGACCCATTTGGAAAGTTTGGCAACTCACAGAACAAGTAAGTATACATAGAGCAATATAGTAGCTAGAGTGGGTTGACTTTAGTTTTTTCTTAAACTCACGTCAAATTTCCTGAAGTAACTGACTGTTGTTGCAACACAATATGTTTTCATGCTACAACAGCATACCTGAAAACTAGCTTCAAATCTGTGACGTGAGCCTTGGAAAACTTTGACAGTAATGGTTTGGAAGAACAATCTACTTAAAAATAAACATATCCTTTGATTGCTCTTAGAGGTTGTTAACATTTTATGTGAAAAAGGTACTCATCATGTCAAATTTTGCGAGACACCGTGACATTGTTAAGATGTTGGCTGGATACCAATACCAAAGTCTGGTTAGAACCAGTTCTGCCAAAAAGGAGTTCCCGATAATTCAATTCCAATTAAGTCTAATGAAAAGGAGCAGATTTATGGAGAGAAAACACTTGCAAGCTTTGCAGACTCTCAAGTTGCTCTGTTGTAACTTTAAATTATATATTTGACTGGTTATCGTCCACTTATGAAAATACCTGTAATTTGAAAATCTTGATTGGCTTAAATGCTACAAATTAGTTTGATTGTGCACACACCATTTATCACAAAGCCCTGTAGAGCACTTCTTCAATTGGAACTGCAATAACAAACGTGTTGTTCATTAGGGGGATTATTGAGAACTCCATTACGTATATTTTTTAAATAGAAGTGCTCTACGATTAACAAGACTGAAAGTTAGCACGCCACCGAAGATTATTGAAGAAGTTGCATAAATGAACTGTCCGAAGATCAAGAGTGATATATATTTCCATTATTGGACTGCATATGTGAAGTAATTGTGGAAAGAATGTAGAGCATTAATTAAGAAAGTACAGTATGTCCATTGTTCTCTTCAGGATTAAGCAATGAGAGTAAAGACATGTATTTAGATGCATAAGTGGGTCTTTTTGGACCCGGTGAGGGGTTTTCTTGAAGTATCTTTGTAATTACATTTTTGTATCATTTCATATTCCAGCTATTCCTCAAAAAACACGTTTTGGATATCATACCATTCACATTTTAAATGTACATTTTAAGAAATTGTAGTTTTTGTATTACTACCCCAAGCTAAGTGGGACAAAAAGGACCCGCTTGCATTTTCTATGGAATCCTATGGGAACCTTTGATTCTTATCACCTGTTGCTGTCAGGAATACATTCACTGTAGACCACACAGATTACATAAGAAGTGACACCTCTCAGGAAGATTATTTTACACAGCAAGATCTGATACCTGTCGGTATAATAATAATAATAATAATACATTATATTTGTATAGGGCTTTTAAAAGGACTCAAAATCGCTTTAAAATATGTAAAGAAATGTAATGTAATTTTTTTTAAATATAATATATTTGTAATGTGAACCAGAATATAATACTAAATATTATACAAGTGATTTTTCTTAACCAAAATGACAAAAATGGCATAAAAACGCATATTATTCTAATACGGGTCCTTTCAGACCCACTTATGGAAGAGTGTAGGTTCCAGTCACTCGTGCATCTAAGGGTTAAAGAAAAAGCCACATAAGCATCTGGTGGCAGTCCACATACGTCAATGGGAGATGTGGCAAGATGTGTTGATGGCAATGGTGCATGTAAGCTTTATAAAAGGAGCTTGTGTTGAAGGGACTGCAGGGAATAATGTGTCTTTCACTATGTTGGTAAACATTACTCTCCTCACATCAACATGACCTTTGCAGTGTAATTAATTTGATTAATTTCATAGAAGGGCTAGCTGTATCTAAAGGCATTGTTTCTTTGTGTGTTTATGTTTATGTATTTGCACATACGTTTGTGGATGATATTATGTGTGAGTCTTTTTTCACTGTTATGAAAGATTAGCCTTGATTGCTACAAGCTACAACTGTCATTCTTCATTATCATTTGATCAACTTTCAGTGGCTTAAATGTGAATGACAGCTGAAGGACAACAAGTTGGAAGGACAGATATTACTGCACAATACTCCAATTACTTAATGCATTATAGTTACACTACAGCTACAAGTACTTGGACTATAATAAATGATAAAACAACATTAATGCATTCATGTTAAAAAGGACCTTTGTTTTGCTCATAGAGAGGCTAAACTGAATTTAGACCAACACTAAGAATAAAACAGATTAGACCTAAGGCTGGGAATTCTTCTGACTCATTTGATCAGTATTGGGTTCATGACACTTTGGACCATTTCACCAGGTTTATCTGAGATGCTGACCACTTTTCTCCAGACACTTATAGCGTAGCTGTTTCTTAGGGGTTTTGTTGACAGGCTCCATTAGCCGTTCTGGGAATGAGGGAGCACACAGAGCGCCAAGTCTAATATTGACACTACACGTTACTGACCGCCACACATCGGTATGTGGAGTGGGGAGGGAGAGAGAGAGAGAGAGGTATATGAGAAGAGCGACCAGAAAATAGGAAGGAAAAAGGTGTACAAAAAAAGAGGTGAGAAATAGAAAGAAGGAAAAAAGACAGAGGAGGGATAGATAGTTAGTATGGGAAGTGGAATAGGTTAAAATAAGAGATTTAGCAGATGATTGGACAGAGAGAAATGTAAAGCATTGTAATCAAACACAGTTGGCCTTTACCAGGAAAATAAATGCAAGTTTGATATTTCATTGCAGAAAATAAATAGGTTTTTCACAACAAGTAGAAAAAAGAAAATGAGACAGTGTTAGGTCAAAGATGAAACAAACATTACACAAAATGAACACAAATGACAGGTACGGATATTTTTGTATCTGCCTTTATTAAAGCACTCACTCATTCTGTCACCCACTACTTTCTGTTTTGAAAAGATCAACACTCCTCGGGAAGGTGCTGCGTCTTGATGTGGACAACAATGAGGATGGCGCCCCGTACAGCATCCCCTCTGACAACCCTTTCTTGCACGAGAAAGAAGCTCGACCCGGTAAATCAGCTTACATTTTCTACACATGTTGGATAATGTTATTATATCTCTTCACAGTTAGGATGAATTGAATATTTAAGATTATGGCACAATTCCAAATATTTACTTAGACTTTGAAATGTGTGTCTACAGTGGGGCTTCTCTAAATGAGAAAAAAAAGAAGAATGAACACTGAGAATAAAAATACACCTTTGGTTTCTGTACTCAGCCTCACAAAGGATGCATGGTATGTTGTGTTTACGTATAATGTGTTTTCTCTCCGTTCAGAGATTTATGCCTATGGAGTTCGCAACATGTGGCGTTGTTCCATCGACCGAGGTGACCCCACCACAGGCCGAGGCGGAGGCAGGATGTTTTGTGGTGACGTAGGCCAAAACAAATTTGAGGAGGTGGACCTTATTGTTAAAGGTATGATGACTTTAGTTCAAAACACCATCTCTCTTTAAAGAAAGACAGATTTCAATACCTCTAAATGCACGATCACACTGACAGAGTCTTTATCATATCTCCAAAATAAATGGTTCAATCTTACGCTAGATGGCTGTCATTATCTACTCATCCTCATGTCATATAAATCTGTTATCTAAAGACCACACAGAAATTGAGTCAGACATTATAGTTTAATGTCAGCCTTCTACCTTACAATTACAGTGAAATTTATCTGCTTAAAATAGCTATGAAATAGTCATCTAATTACAGCCAAACAATACTCTTCTCAGTTAGAAACTTTCTACAGTATATTTACTGCACCGTGAGGCAATTCCATTTTGAAATAATGGTACGGTAGCTGTCTGCCTGCGATGTTGCACTAACTTTGTATGTACATGTTTGAAGGAGGGAACTACGGATGGAGGGCCAAAGAAGGCTTCAGCTGCTACGATCGCAAACTCTGTCTAAATTCCTCGCTAGGTGAGGACGCTCTCCTGGCTGCTGCCATGCACTTTTTACAATCTATAATGATGAGGATGATACGTTTCACAATATATATACTGTTAAAGCTTCTTAACTTTAGGTACATCTAAAAAAACATTTAAAATGATGATGCATAACTGTCATTCTCCATGCTTAGTGTGTAGTGGTATTGTCTTCTTGTTATGCTGACAAAGGAAGTTAATTCATGTTATTTTATTTTTATGTCGATGTCTAGATGACATCCTGCCTATCTTTGCCTACCCCCACAAGCTGGGCAAATCAGTGACGGGAGGTTACATCTACAGAGGCTGTCAGATGCCCAACCTCAACGGACTCTACATCTTTGGGGATTTCATGAGTGGGTTAGTGTTTCTGCGTTATTCCATAATATAAACTTCACACATCTTCTTTAGACACATTCTCGCCCTCACTGTAGATACCCAGTGTCCAATTTGTCATAGTGGCCAATGCACACAGCCTATTAAAACAGACACATATATTTATTTGTCCTGGAAATTATGGATATTAAGCAAAAACCTTTCAACACAACACTTCAACATCAACCATTACAGTAAGCATGAAAGGCTTGATTTTAAATGTTTAATTGATGTGCTGTTTGTTTCTGTTCAGGCGTCTGATGTCTCTGAAGGAGAATGTCGCTTCAGGTGAATGGCAGTACAGAGAGATCTGCATGGGAGGAGACCAGACCTGCAGATTCCCAAAACTCATCAACAGTTATTATAAATACATCATCTCTTTTGCTGAGGATGAAGCAGGTACGTTTAAAAGTTAAAGCAATGTTGAATAACTTGACTGAGCCCCATTTCTTCCCTTTCAATAACTTGTGTTTGCTATTTTCCGTTTGGATTGTCTTTTACTCTCCACCCATCTCTGTCTCCCTCTCCCTCTCTCTCTCCCTTTTCCCTGTCCATCTTTCTAGGTGAACTGTATTTCATGGCCACTGGAGTGGCGAGTGCCAAGGCCAGAGCAGGAGTCGTCTATAAGATAGTGGATCCTTCCAGGTAGCTAAACATTACAACTCAATAGGAGAGCAACAAATACACTTTCATCACACCTGCAGGGGTTTGTGGGGAAGAGATTTTTAGAGTAGCTGATCTTAGAATAACCTACATTTCAAAAGTTCAAAAGTACTTGTATAGGTTGCATGAGTGACCTTTTTTTTTCTCTCGTGACTACATAGGCGAGCAGCACCAGGAAAATGCAGCTTCAAACCTACTCCTGTTAAGATAAAAGGAAAACTGGTTCACTTCTACCCCAAAGAAGGTAAGGAATTCTTTAAATACTATTAACATTTGAGACAACATTTCCTGGTAACCTTCTGTTGCACGTTTAGTTTCTCAGTGTGTTTTCGAATCCAACAAAATGATATTGTTTATTATTATCATTATTTGGTCAATGTGCAAGATGTAGAAGTTATGTTTCATAGTCTGAAGCATTTTTTATTACGCTGATCAAATTTATTTTTTGTTTGCAGAGTTCGTAATCAACAAGAAACCAACAACCACACCAATACCAACAACATCCACAAGAAAAACTACAACAACAACGAAAACACCCCCAAGAAGAAAAACACCAATTATTATTATCAAACCACCAATGCCAACAAGAAAAACAATAAGAAAAACAACATTACAGACAACAAGAAAAACACCCCAAACAACAGCACTAAAAACAACTTCAAAAACAACAATTAAACCAACAACCGTACCAACAACTGTCCAGAAGGCCATGGAAACAACCCCCGCCCCAACCACACCCACCGGTAGGCCCACTGGTGAACCTGTTCACCTTACCAGCTCCACTGATAACCCAACTACTAGCTCCAATGTTCACACAACCACTAAGGCAACTGGTAAAACTAACCGTAAACCAACCAGTAGACCAGTGCAGGGAGAAGCCACCAGAGTGAAACCAGCTGCTTTCTTCTTCTGTGCTGGGTTGCTTTACATTTTAACATGCTAATAGCCAAATGACTAAACTCTGTGCAACTGATTTTCATTCAATGATTAATGATGAGGGGTCTTAGTTGCTAAGTGAGATACAGGCAGTATAGTGGCTTAACTTTATAAATAAGTTAAATTAAATAAATACATACAAAATAACATGAATAGTTTGGCAGCTAAGTTCAAGTAAGTTTACTTTGAAAATTGATCAGAACCTTTTTTAGGTCGTTTTTGGTAAAACAAGCAGCTAATACAATATTTGAAAGATGTCTTCTTATGGTGAAAATAGAAGAGATACAACAGGTACCAAATAGTGAGGAGAGAAATCAACTACAGTAAAACAGTGAGTGGGCCCTCTTGATACATGCAACAGCAATCTATTTATATTAAATTATTTTATGTTTTTTTGTGGAAAATTAATTCAAACCTTGTTTATTATATTTGAAAAACTAGATTTTCTGTTTTGCTTATTCTTATATTAACCACTTCTGAGACGCCATAAAAGAATATGCAACATAGGTAGGTCATTATTTATTGCTATTTTGTTCTTTTACATAATGCTTATTATCAGTCTTTGCAATTTGCACTGGAAAAGCTGAAAAAAATACAATACATAAAATGCAACAAAAAAAACAACAATGCATAAAAGGTTATTATTATAAATCATTGAATGGAAATATTCTGAAACTTGATATCAAATACACTAATGTTACAGCTTTTAATGATGTTCTGCTAACTGCTAACCGATCATATTTAGGAGGTTTGCCTTTGCTGACGCACGGGGTAAGGACTCAGGCTTTTAGAAAAAGTAGAAACTTGATTTCCTGCTAGCATAAGTTTCTTTGGCTGGTACAAGATACTTGAGCAGAAACAATGGTGCTTATTTTGGTGTTGGGTATTTGAAATACTTTAATTTAAATCAAGTACTTTGGCATTATTTATTTTTAATAAATGGTTCTGCATCAGCTTCAGTTTGGACATTCATCTTTGTGTGTCTGTGTTTATGTCTTTCCTTTGGATAGCATTGCTTTAAATGGCTTGGAGAAATCTGAGATTTGTAACTTTCTCAGTTCTAAAACTACCTTCTTGGTGTATTACTAAAAGATATGTTGCAATGTTTCAAAAATAAGCTTATATCATTTTTGGAAACAGTGGGAAACAGCTAGCCTAGGTCTGGCCAAAGTTGACACAATCTAAAGCTCACTAATACATTTGTTATACCGCCTACTCACAGAAACAAAAGTTTGAATATAAATATTTAAAGTTTCACAGGGATTCTTGGTTGGATGCATTGACTTCTTTGACCCTTTTACCCTTTTGATCTGGTGGTATGCATATTCTGTTATCTTTGGACGGATCCAGACTAGCTTTCCCCTCATGTTTTCGTCTTCCTGCTAAATTAAGCTTACTGGAATTAACTTCATCATTACCAACATAATGGTATTAATCTTCTCACCCACTCTTGGCAAGAAAGACAATAAGCACATTTCCCAAAATGTCAAACAAAGCACAGTGTTAAACTACATATATTCAAATAAAGAGGGTGATTCTGTCTCTCCATCAGGTTATCGCACAACCATCATGACTGCGGCCTTCACTAGGAGTGCTCAAACACCAATCATCCCCACATCTCCAACCAGGAAACACGGGAGACCCCTTCAATACGCTCCTATTACCACCTCCAAACCTTTAACATCAGCACAACCTCCTCCTTCCCCATCCACGAAACGGCCCAAGGTGGCTTTGACCTCTGAGCGCCCGGCAGCGTTGACCACACCACGGCCACAGTATTGGAGTCTGAAACCCACGACATCAGGATACAAGCCCCAGAGACCGCCGATCAACACAACACCGACCAAAACACAAGAAGAGGGGCTGCGGCTCGGAGAGAAGCTGGAAAACACCGGAGGGGCTAACCAAGTATACAAGAGGCCCCGAGGAAGAAGTCGAGGTTCGAAGAGAGGAAGAGGAGGAAGAGGAGGAAGAAAGCTGCGTGCCGGCTCGGTGCGACTGGTGACCACTGATGGATTATCAGATCGAGGCAGACTGGAGATCTTTATCCGTGGGGAGTGGGGGACGGTATGCGACGACCTTTTCACCAGCAAAGCAGGTTCTGTGGTGTGTCGACAGCTCGGCTTCACCACGGCGTTGGCGGTGATGAAGAGGGCTGTCTTGGGGGAGGCGGACCGTAACGTCAGGATCCTGTTGGACGACGTGGAGTGTGAGGGCGGGGAGAGGTCGCTGCTGGAGTGCAAGAGATCCAGGGTGGGGAAACACAACTGCTCACATGGGGAAGATGTAGGGGTGATCTGCGGTTAGCATGGAGGAGAAGAAAATAGAACAAAGTATAGGAAGGAAAGGAAACAAGGAGGCAGGGGAGGGATGTGTGTTATTGCATACAAGAAGTAACAGGATGAGGGGAAAAAGCATTAGAAGAGAGTATACAAGATGACTGCAGACTGCTTTATTTTCAAGCATGAATGTTGGGGAGGTTGGATCGGTTGCTTAATGAGTTATTGAATTGTATTTTTTTTTAAAGGTCAATAAGGAATGAGTGAGTGTCGGAGTAACTTGAATCCTACTTTTGAAGTGTTTTCTGTTTACATACTTACATGTGGCAGACACCAGATCCTGTTAAACAGTCAGGTGTGTCCCAAGAGAATATATTTGTATTTTTGTATCATCTCAAGCAGGTCTTTTCTTTTTCTCCAACAGCTTCTTATATTTGCATTTTGATACCTTTTTTAATGTAGTTTTAAGATGAACACATCTCAAGAGTTTTAACAAGGAAATGCTGGACATTCTGAATGATGAATGTAATAAAAGGTTTCCTATTTTATATAAAGACATTTGAGGGCACAGAGTGTGATATGAATAAAGATGTACTGCAAAATGACAGCCTTGCTCTTCTCTATTATTCTCTGCCAATATTGATCAGAGGAATGAAGGCTTACATTGGTCAACACCGACTTCTCTACAGCTGCGAGAACAGACACATATTAATCATGAAACTATTGTTCCCACTGTATGGCTCTGCTTGTGTTCGGTTTCTGAGAGTTTCAATAACACTCCACTAATACAGGACTGATTTTCAGAAACCTGTGGGATTAAAGCAAGATTTTTACCATGGGAAAGAAAATGTGTTGTAGGGAAGGGAAAGTCCAACTGGCTTGCCTTTTTAAGTTCAATGTTGTCAAGGGAAAGAAGGAAAGAAAACAGACTACAAAAATATTTAAGTGCCGACAATTATACTCTAGATCAGGGGTGTCAAACTCAAGGCCCGGGGGCCAAATCCGGCCCGCGACTTCATTTCATGTGGCCCCACAAGAGCAAAGAATATAATATGTTTATTATACGGTTACATGCCGCTTTACAGAAGCACATTGCCCATAAACTACATGTCCCACAATGCATCTCAAATAGGACTTTTTTCTCTGAATTTGACTTTTTTTTCTCAAAATGTTACCTTTTTTTCAGAATTTCACTTATTTTTTGTAGTTTTTCCAGAATTTGGCTTTTCTTTTTAAATCATTTTGTGACATGCACACTGAAGAGACTTGCAATTGTTTGCCCTAGACTTCTGCTTTCAGACGTAGTTAATTATGAAGTAATTAACCTATCCGATAATAATCCAATGAAGAGGAAATAATGTTATATAATAACTGATCTTATATATATTAAATATTTATATATTTATTCTTATATAGTCTTATATATAAAACTGGCCCTTTATTTGAGTGCAACTATGATGCTAATGTGGCTCGAGTTGAAATTGAGTTTGACACCCCTGCTCTAGATAGAATTATCACTCCTCAGTAAAGTGAACATGTTCTCCCCCTTCATTTCAGTTACATAAAGTAATTTCAGAGGCAAAACTGTAATTAATAAACAACAAACATATTTATGATGAGGAAAATAATCAGTTTATATACAAATGTCAGAATAACATTTGCCAAATGAGAAAAATAAATGATTGAACTCCAGATTGGGCACATCATAAACTGGTTCCCCAACTCTTTGTATCTACATTATATGAAGACTGCATTGACTACATTGTAACACTGCCACATGCATCTTTTAAGAGTTGTTGTTTTTCTTATATAACCATTGAATAAAATCAATGTAAATATAAAATGTGCCAGTTTTGCACATACGGTACATCTTAAAACAACAAGAATAACAAGCAGTAAATGCAGACCAGCTGTCTGGCACATAAATGTGTCTGCTTGCACACTGTAATGTTTTACAGATCCTGACACACCACTAAACTATAAGGTGCGTTGCATTGCTCAGTCACAGCGGTTTGCATGAATGATTACAGTAAAGGTATCATGTGTGTGAACCTCATGTGTGTGTATGTCTGCGAAGATATGTTTCTATCCCTGTTCTTTTTATAAATCAATGCATACTTTGATGGCATTCAGAGTGTGTGATGTCAGCATGTTCGCCAAAAGACAAACCTGACCTTGCCAAGGGAAAATTATTTTTTATTTCAAGACCTCTGTACTATTTTAGAGCTAAAGAGTCTCTAGGCAGTCAGGCAGGTAAACATTGGAGTTCATGAACATGTGCAGAAAATATCCATCTACTTTGGCTCTCAGTATTTTAGTGAATTATAAAAATATAAGGCCTTTCAGAGAGAACCGTTTAAGTCTATATAACAAACGTGAAACTTTGCCTAAAATTATTTTTGTATTAAAGAATAAAATGATCCTTACTAACACAGTTTTTCAACAGCATACTGTGAACAAATGGTCTGATATTTGTTTTGCCAGACCAGAGGGAGGCAGTCATGTATCAAGTATTATCACTAGTGGAAGATGTTATGAGAGCAGTTCAGACCCTTCATATGAATGGCGACTGGGGAGATTTTTTTTTTTTTTTCAGTGGGTACATTTATGATGAAAATCTAAAATATTTAACACGAAAAAAACTGTAGATTCTGCATCACAACATTGTCATGGGAAAACATTACAATAATTAATGCAAACCATAATGCCAGACACCACCGACTGTCCTACATTGCAACACTTTTTTAATCCCCGTGATAAAACAACATAACAGTGTTAATCTTTGATGGTGCCTTGAGAAAGTAATTGGTAAGAAGAAGGCTGGTTATAATGTCAATAGATTATAAAGTTAATTGTTCTGGGCATCCAGAGAGGGTTTCATTTAACATAAAAAGAAGGAAACAATTTATATATTGTCACATCACAATTTAATCATGAGTTCTTAAGTGTGGTAAAGACCCTTTTCTTGAAGCTACAGGCCAGGCTGATTAAAGTATCTTTGGAACAAACGAGTAACATTAGGACAAACCAAACCAATTGATTGGCAACAGAGGAATATGTTTTAATCAGTTTGAAAATGTTAATAATTACCAATTAAATTCTGTCATCTCATTCTGGCCTCACTCCTTTCTATTTCAACAAATGCTTCACTATATAACTGATACAAGAGAGAGTGTCAGAAACATTCAGCAAACTCCAGGCACTGAAGCCAAGGTGGTATTACATTGCTGAAGATCCCCAATGGTCACTCGAAGCTGGCTTAAAAAACGAGTCAATCTACATAAATCCATGTAAATCAGTCCAATTTTACAGCAGAAATACACATTTACAGCCTGATAAAAAAACAAACAGTTTTGGTCTATATTGCAAATGTGCTTTTTCATGACAACTGTGTGGGCAGATCATTTATATAGCATGTCCATTTTTCTTTTCTTGTTTTCAATCTTCTTACCAGAAATATTTACCATCCAACTTGTACTACAATAAGCTAAGTAAGTACCCACCTATCTATTACTCATAGCAGCCCTCAACGATTCAAAACTTTAAGCATATCATTTTAACATGCTATATAAATGATCTGCCCACACAGTTGTCATGAACAGGCACATTTGCAATATAGACCAAAACTGAATAGAGGGACTATCTTAGTTAGTCATTCAGGCATAGTGAATAATGAACAGGCGGGAGTAGAAAACGCAGCAGTTTTGGTCTATATTGCAAATGTGCCTGTTCATGACAGCTGTGTGGGCAGATAATTTATATAGCATGTTAAAATGATATCTAGGCTTAAACTTCGTTGAGGGCTGCTATGAGTAATAGGTAGGTGGGTACTTACTTGGCTTATTGTAGTAAAAGTTGGATGGTAAATATTTCTGGTATGAACATTGAAAACAAGAAAAGAAAAATGGATGGACAAACAACCATGGCAATTAATATCCCAGCATACTTCCGACTGTAGGTTATGTTGTGTATTTAGCCTTTTTATGTTGCCAATGGTTTTTTTTAAGCCATAAATATTCTTTTTTTTTCTTTTTTTATGACAGAAGAGCATAACATTTAATAGAATAAAATAACAGTGAATCCCTGAGTCTACAAACGGTATTCTAAAGTAATCTGAAGGTGAGAAGAGTTTCTTTTTTTTTACTTTTAATTTTCAATACACTGGTATAGCGGATGATCTTATATACAAATGAAGACTCTTAGAAAGATAAGACTGAAGAATAGAGGGAATATCCTCATTCAGGCATAGTGAATAATTAACAGGCGGGATTAGAAAACGCATAGTGGAATCAGCAGTCAAGCAGAATCTGTGCTATGGATGAGGATGTATTCCTCTGTCGCATTAAGAGCAGCCTTTAAAAATGAAAAGTACAGCCATGTTGACTTGATGTGACGTATTTGGCACACAAATGCATTTGGCATTCAGCCCCTAAATGAATGAACATTGCAACAGTTATCAGAGAGACAGAGGTTTTACTGTATAGGGATGTGAGAGGGAGATCGAGTGGGCAGTATATCTGTGAATACTCTTCTTGACAGTCAACTTACATAGAATGAACAATGGGCTACCGAAATGTGTTACCAATGCTGATGCCTCTATAATCTTTCTCTTTTGTATTAAAACAATAATACTGTTGCTTAATCAGGCAACAATTTTAGAGGCAAAGCAAACTCTAACCAGTGAGCATGTTTGAATGATTGGAGAAAACATTGCGATGATGTGTCCCACTTCCTGTTTACTTCTTTACTGCCAACTTTGTCACAGTCAAATGGTCAACAATGCATAGCATCAAATGCCATTAACAAAACTGAATAATAGTTCAAACTGTTCACTCCAAACATAAGAACGTGATGTGCCTATTCAGCTATATCACATTGTGACTCATGATGAGCAAGACAACTTAAATAAGTAATGTATTCATTTCGATTTGAAAGGTCACATGGCATTTAACCACGGGTTAGTATTCAGAATGGTTAGTCCTGTATTTGTTTTATTTAAAGCAACAAATTAGTTATGACTTGAGAAATACAACGGTGATAGATTTATGTTTTATGTGCGATTAAACATTCACACAATTAAATTATATTCTTTCACATGCCAGATGTTAACTTCCATACATTGTACTGAACAACGATGAAGTCTGATATAGTGGCAGTGTACACATTTAACCTCTTCATATCTTCTACATTTACGCACAGATTTAGATATTGTATGAGTGGCAAGTTATATCTGCACCTCTAAAATAATATGTTTTGTTTAACATATGACATACATGTCTGATGCCATAATACAATCCCTCACATTTACCTAGAACATAATGGGATTTTAGATGTGCATTAGACTCATCAACAAGATCTAGCCCAGTATCTTCCAACTAGAGTCAAATTCACCTTCAATATGATCTTAAAAGATCGATCAGATAATCAAAGACACTTACTTGCCATTTCAACTGGATCAATTGCCAAAGAGAGACAAGGCTCACCCCTTGTTTAAGTTGCCAATTTCATATATTTTCCAATAACTACCTGGAGTCCTGAACTGATGATTGATGTAATGCGAGGAAGTATTTTATTGACTGCAAAA